TATATATATATATATATATATATATATATTTTAAATTTGTTTTATAGGGGGTGAGTTAAATGTTCGTAAAAGTGATTGCAATACAAGTATGATAGTTGAACATCCGATTAATCGGATCACGGTTATAACAAAGTAATAATTGAAATTGTGTTTTAAGAAATTTTGCGAAAATTTATTTGTTTATTTATTCATTAACGAAAGGAATGTTTCGAAATGATTGCTTTATAATAATGAAGAAACGTTTGATTCAAATCACTCAGCCATTTTGTATTATTTTTTTTTTTTTTGTTGAAATGTTAAACATTTTTCGATGAGGGAGAATGCTTTGATCGAAACGATTGAAATAATTGGAATAATTGATATAATTGTTGCCCAATAGTTTGAAAGTGCATTGGCAAGAACCGAGGAAGACGAGAAAGAAGATGAAAAAGAAAAAAGTAGGGAGAGTGAAATGAAGGGCTAGGAAAAGGGTGGGAGGAAAAAGTGAATGGGTAAGAGAGAGAGAGAGAGAGATAAATAATAAAAAAAAGAAAGAAAGAAAGAAAGAAAAGGTAAAAAGGAACGGAGAACTCCGGTATGGACTCCTTTATCGCATTAACCAATTCAATTAACAACTTTGAGACAAGCGACAGTCCCTCTTTCCCTCCCGTCTCTTACCCTTCCCTTCCCCCCATCTACCTTCCCCTTTCAGTACTGCACTAATTAGAGCTAACGCGATTAAAACGGGTCAATAATTAATTGTATGGCTGATGTGTTGTCCAAAGACGAACGGAGGAATTGACAAATTGCGTTTTGACGATAGAATTTTTATTTTATTTTTGTTGGTATACATGGAAAATGGGGTGGGAGTAAAAGGGTTTAAGAATTGTTTAGGATGATTTTCTTGCTTGAGAAATTATTTCACCTTTCGAATTTATTATCGTTACGTTTTATAAAGCGAAATGATTTATAATAAAGGATATATATATATATATGTATATACTTTTGCTATTATTCAGAACAGAGGAAAGGGGATTTTGTAATGGACGTTGTGAAAGTTGAGATTAAATTAGATTATGAGTTATGGTCGAGTTTAGAAATTATGCAGAGTATGTTTCAAAGAGATTATATTCGATAATATTTTAGCTGAGATTGTTACAATATGTACTAGTTGTGTATGTACAGAGAATACGGTGATATATTATAATAATAATAATATTAATAATAATAATATTATCGATCATTATTATAATGTAAAATATCTTTGTGTCATAGAATGTTAATTAGATTGGCTATTAAAGTACGTGTGAGGTTTATTACATGTCGTAAGATAAAAAAAACTCTGTACGAAATTATTTGCTAACCTATAAAATATACATATATATATACGAAATATTGTATTTATAAAATATGTAAAATGATTAATCAATTTCTCGAATTAACAGATTTGATATTGATCGATAATATTTAATTAATTTAACACTTTGATCAACATTTACGATGAAAATCAACGAAAGTTTGTATTAAATGAAGTTTTAGTTGGAATCGGTCGCCATTTTTGACCACCGATCGGTAGCCATTTTTTATTCATTTTAACCACGGGGATTGGTTGGTTAGCCATTTATGATTCAATTTGCGCGGGAATTCGTCATAGTCAATGAGGTTAACGTTAAAAGATCGTAAAGCCGATTTAATCGACTATTAACGGAAATTTTATTAATTTATGCGCATTAATAATCATTGATTAATATTTCAATATATTGTAGAAGAAAATATAAATAACGAGAAATATATTTTTATAAATTTCATTCAAAAAAATGTAAGTACACTAATTTGTTTTTTTTATTCTTGTTCGTTTTATTTTTGTTAAAAGGGAATTATTATAAAAGTATAAATTAAAGTTAATTATCATTAATCAATTATCCGAATATATATATATATATATGTTTGACGAGCAAGAAAAGTAAAGAAAACGATATCCTGATTCTTTAATCGATCGAACGATCTTCCTGCATTGCTTTGACGCTTTTTAGAAAGCTAGTGCTCCGGATTCCAACGTGATCGTTTACAGGTGGCTAGAAGGAAATTATGGTTGTTGCTTGGTTAGTCGAAGGTACACGATGATACATGGGACGTTTATCGGTGCCATCGATTCGGAGAAATCCAAATAGAAAGAGAAAGATAGAAAACATATATATATATATATATATATATATATATATATGTATATTCATCTTTGATGTTTGAGTAAATATGGAAGACTTTATATGTATGTGTTTATGTACGTGTACCAAACTGGATCGTGTAATGCGATCTTTTGCTATATAAAGTTGAAAGAAGGAATAAAAAGTTGGATCGATGGATCGATCGGTAATCTTATATCGAATTATAGTCTTACGTGAGTTTTTTTTTTTAATTATTATTTTCTTCTTCTTCTTTTTATTTATTTTATTTTTTTTGTTTTGTTTAATTAAACGATGTACGTATGTAACTTGTTGTTTTCTTGGATATTATGAGTGTAATTAATTTCATTTTTATTAAATATTTAATTCCTATCGTTTATCATAAATAAATTACGTAATTTTGTAACTAGTTTGAACTTATAAACATATCGAATTATTAAATAATAATTCATAGAATTATAGAAGTTTATTTGACAGTGAAAAGTGAAAAAAAGTGAATTATGTCAAATATTTTCTACAAAATGAATCACCAAATGAATTTATAAAATTTATCGATGTAATTATAGGTAAATTTTTCGTTTGAAAGGGGTTGCTTCGAAAGTTTATGTTAAAAAAAAAATGAAAATAATAGTATTTATATTTGAAATAAGAGTTGAAGTTAGAGAAATAGAGGAAAGTTAACGATTAGGTGAAAATATCCGAAATGTGTAGTTTCTAATCGTCCGTAGGTATTCCACATATCGTGTTCGCATGTACAATGAAGCACCCTAACTAAAGCGTAAGTAGAAAAGTAGATACGATTGCATGGTTTCTGATCCGGTTATGCGGTGAACGCGCATCGTTCATGGCTTCGCAAAATATGTTTCTCGTGTATTGGTATAGTTGTGTGTTTTCATGGATTGACTAACATAAATGACGTGCCATGGATACACGCCTAATTTACGTATCAGATTCTCTGAATAAAACCAATCAACAATATACATATATATATATATATTGTATATATGTTATAGAATTAAATTTTATTGAAGAATATTTTTCATTTGATATTGTTTTTTTCATTTTTTAAATGAATACTTCACAAATGGTTATTCATATTTCTTTGCTATGAATTTTATTGATCAAACATATTCTGTAATAGCATTATACTTGTTTATTACCATAGTTACCTAATCAGGTTATACATGCAATTTTTATTCTTAATGTTACTTTAATTCAAATTAATTTATTTTATTAACCATTGAATACTTTTGTTTTAAATTTTTATTATTTGGTTTATTTATATTTGTAATTATTTAATTTGTAAACTGTGTTGTTCTATTTAAGAAGTATTTGTACTTTTATTTGTCATAGTTGTATTCCAAATCTTTGATGTTATTTTATTTCAAATTAATTTATGTTATTAACCATTGAATACTTTTGTTTTCAATTTTTATTATTTGGTTTATTTATATTTGTAATTATTTAATTTGTAAACTGTGTTGTTCTATTTAAGAAGTATTTGTACTTTTATTTGTCATAGTTATATTCCTAATCTTTGATGTTATTTATTTCAAATTAATTTATTTAAGTTATTTTTTAATACTTTTGTTTTAAATTTTTATTATTTGGTTTATTTATATTTGTAATTAATTAATTTGTAAACTGTGTTGTTCTATTTAAGAAGTATTTGTACTTTTATTTGTCATAGTTGTATTCCTAATCTTTGATGTTATTTTA